TCCCAGCCACGCGCCGAGATGAAGCCCTCCTTGAAGACCCGCGCGACGTAGGCCGGGTCGAGCGTGCCCAGCGTGGTCGCGTCGAAGGTCAGGTCCTTGGGGGCCTTGGCGTGCGAGGCCGCCACAGTGGCCGCAGCCTTGGCGCTGGCCTTCTTGTTGGCCTTCTTGGCTGGGATGGTGGTGGACGAGGCGGCTGCAGATGAAGATTTCTGTGTAGCGACTCCCTTCTTCGATGAGGAAGAAGAAGATTTGATGGATGTGACGTAGCACGGGGCGGGCGACAGGGTGGGCGAGGCGGGCGCCACCTTCGAGGTGGACTTGACGGTGGCCGCCGAGCCCTTGAACACGGGTGCCGCACCTGGGGACGACGAGCCGTTGGCCTTCTTGTTGGCCTTCTTGTTGTTGTTGCCGCCGGCAGCGCGCTGCTTAGGCGAAGCCGATGACTGATTGGCCTCCATATCTGATGGGCCTGCACCACAAGATGGAAGCACGACGCGACGTGACACTCGTTAGAGAAACAGATCAAAATTAATCGCGCAAGATTTTAAATGCGCGTAGAATTGAAACAATTTTTTCGGCAAGAAGGATGGAATCACAACTACGGCGGCAACAATCCATTGCGTTACGGGCAATGATGAAGCGTACCACCAAGAGAGAAGATTAAAGCGAGATTTGCTCGAATGAACGAGATTATCAATCGTTGCTCTGGGCCGGTTGGTAAGATCACGATCAAGATCAAGATTCACTCGCAGGTGACCTCAGCCTTAAGCAGATCAACTGGGGAAAATCAGATCTGGTTGTACGCAATAATCCAGAGGCTCAAGGAAAAGGCGCTTTACCTTTATTTTCGCTTTGTCCGTCGAATTTTCGCGGCCCGAAACGTCGCCCAATGCCAAAATGCAAAATATTAAATTTTTTATAATATTGTTGGCTTGCCGATGGTCTCAGTGGGTGATCATCCAGTAGGAGGCCAAGCCGACGCCGAGCCCGGCCAGCCCGGCCAGCGAGATCTTGGCGTAGGAGTAGGGCCGCATGCCCTCGATCAGCGGCAGCGGGCGCTCGTCCGAGTCGGGCTGCGGGCTTCCCGCCGCGTGGTCGCCGTCGCGCACGCACAGGTGGTACTCGAAGCCGTGCCACCGGTAGTGGAGCTCGTAGACCGGGACCAGGACGAGGCTCACCCGGCCCATGCCCTGCTCACGCTCCTGATCGGTGCGGGCCACGTAGTCGAGGTCCACCTCCCACGCCTCGCCGTCGGCGTCGTTGTTGGGTCGGAGCACGCCGCGCGCCCGCTCGCTCTCGATGATGGCCCGCTCGCTGAGCTCGCGCTCGACCTCCTCCAGCCGCTTGCGGCCCTCGCGCTGCCAGGCGGCCTGCGGCTGCAGGGTGAGGTCCATCACGCGATCTGTCGGCCGGAGGTGAGCGTCGAGGACCTCCTTGAGCGACGACTCGCTCCTGGCCGTCAGCGACACCAGCCGCCCCTCGGCGCTCACCTGCAGCCCTGTCCCCGTCAGCGGCCAACATCCACCACCGCACACGCAAGTAACAAGAAACACGCAACACACCTCGTGCCACTTGAGGTCGTCGATGGAGGCGAGCACGGGCTTGCGCTTGGGCGTGGGCTCCTCGGCGCAGATGAGCACGGGGAACGCCGTGGAGAGCGTGCCCGATGTCTTCTCCCCGTATTTGGCCGCGAAGCGTCTCCCTATCCGTGCTCGACCCTGTTGTCCCGCGCGGAGAGCATCAGGACTGTCATGCGTGTCGTGTCGTGTCGTGTCGTGTCGTGTCGTGTCGTGTCGTGTCGTGTCGTGTCGTGTCGTGTCGTGTCGTGCGGGTGTTGCGAGCCTCACCTGGTACTGACACGCGGTGTTGCAGGCAAAGTGCCAAAACGGAACGTAGGTGTGGAGGGCCTTGCTCATGTCAAGCTCGGCGCGGAAGTTGGGCCGGAACGGGAGACGCCCGTACCACTCGTCCACCGCCTTCTGCACCTCTTCCAGCGAGCGCGTGGGCTCGGCGAGCAGCACCTCGAACTGCCTGAAGGCGCCCCACACGTTTTCCTGGACGTCGCCGCACATGTTTCAGCAACCACAGCCCACAGCCCGATGCGTTCACACACACACACACCACACACACAATCCCGCTCTCTCTCTCTCTCTCTCTTGGGTACCGGGAGGCGGTGGTCTCGGCTTTCACGGGCCACTCGTCGCAACCTCCTGCGCATCATCCTGCGCCCCAGGTCTTCCCGTTTCCGCTCTGTGTGCGTGTTGTGCGTCGTGTTAGCAACACTGTTCGAGCGAGGCAACGGCGGTAAAATCGGCGGACCTGGGTGCTCCTCTTGGTCGTTGGCAGTGGTGCTGCTCTTGGTCGTTGGACTGGCGGCGGCGTCAGCGACAGGAGGGGCAGGACTGGGCTCAGTGGCCACCGCTGAGGGAGGAGGAGGAGGCGTCGCAGATGTGGTGGACTTGCGCGAGGCGATGAAGACGCGCCACTCGAGCTCCTGCTTGGCGGCCTCCAGCAGCTCGCGCCGTCGCTCCCGCCTCTGCTCTCTCGAGCTCGCCACGTGTTGGTGGTGCTGGTGCTGGTGCGGCTCCTCTGGTGTTGCTGGGGCATCGGCAGGGCTGACGTCACTGGCCTCTTTGTGCCCCTGCGGACCACCAGCCGTTAAGAATGAGCACAGCACCTTCTTGGTGGCCTTCCTTTCCGTGGCACCACAAAGCAGGGTGTTGGCCATAGTGAGAGGGGGGGGGGTGAAGTACGGTGCAGGCGAGGGGAGAAGTGTGCAGACGGCGGAAAGCAACGACCCATGTGATATTCTTACGCCCACTCACGTGTCCAAAGCGCTGGCTGGTGCGCAAGGTGCAGCGCATTACGGATGAATCAATGGATTCCTTCTTTTCTGGCGGAAGATACTTATTTTCCCTCTTGTTTTCCTTTTGCCCAGTTTCAAGAATGCTGGAATGTTGGAGTGAAGTTTGCAAGGAAATTTCATTACAACTCTCCAATGAGGCAATGCCTTTGCGGTTGAGGCTAAACAAATCCATATCCTTTTGTAGGCATTGTCATCACAACTTCGGATGTCCGCAATACGAGAACGCAATTGCCGAAGATGCGCCACCTCTACTCAACCTCTTTCATATCTTCTGCATCTTTCTTTTCTTCCTCCTCACCTCCAATACGCGCGAACTTCGCCGGCCAGTTACAGGGCTCGGCCAGTAATGGGCGCTACCTGTCCTTCACCTTCTCCACGACGGGCTACCAGAACATCAACCTCGATCTCGACTACCGCTTCCTGAGCGGCGGCTTCGGCACCTTTGAAGTGCTCACCACCACCGACGGTACCAACTTTGTCTCGCGCTCGACCTACACCACCGCCTTGACCACATTCGAGGCGGTCAGCATCGACCTCTCCGCCCGGACCGAGCTCAACAACGCGGCCTCGGTCGAGGTGCGGCTGGTGTTCAGCGGCGCCACCACCACCAATGGCTTGTCGCGATGATGTCCTCTTCTCCGGCGACCTCGCCCACGCCGTCGCCCACGCCCTCCACCACGCCCTCCAACACCTGTCCAACTCACCGTCGCCCTCGAGCTCGCCGTCGCACTCGCCCAGCCCGTCGCCGTCGCCCGTTATCAATGGACCTACTCTGAGGCCACGGCGGTCGACGCTGCTCAATTACCGCTCCCGCTCGCCGCCTCCGTCGGCCCCGGCAACATGACCAGCAACTGGGCCGACCCGACCAGGATCACCTACAACTCGCGCAACGCGGGGGGGTCCGCGTGCGATTTCAAGGGTCAGGCGAGCAACGGGCGCTACCTGGCCTTCACCATCGACTCGACGGGCTACCAGCGCGTCGTACTCAGCCTCAATACAGATACACGTCGCTCAACGGCTTCGACACCTTCGACGTGCAAACCTCGACCGACGGCACCAACTACGCCACCCGTTTCAGCTACACCGCGGCCGAGGCCGGCTTTGTTGGAGTCACTGTAGATCTGATGGCCCGCAGCGAGCTCGACAACACAGCCTCGGCCGAGGTGCGGCTGTTCTTTAGCGGCGCCACCACCACCAACGGCGGTTCGCGGATCCACAGTGTCGTGTTCGGCGGCGAAGCCCTCCCGTCGCCGTCGCCCAGCCTCGCCAAGCCCCTCGCCCAGCCCTTCGGTCACCCCGTCGCCCTCCAACTCGCCCTCGAACACGCCGTCGCCGTTGCCGTCCAACACGCCCTTCCCCTCGCCCACGCCGTCGCCCTCTAATACGCCGTCGCCTTCAAGCACGCCGTCGCCGTCCAACACGCCGTCGCCGTCTAACACGCCTTCGCCTTCAACCACCCCGTCGCCATCAAACACTCCGTCGCCGTCCAACATGCCGTCGCCGTCCACCACGCCATCGCCCTCCAGCTCGCCGTCGCCGTCCAACACGCCGTAGCCGTCCAACACTCAATCGCCGTCAAACACCCCTTCGCCGTCCAACTCGCCGTCGCCTTCAACCACACCTTCGCCGTCCAACACGCCGTCACCTT